GGGAGAGGCCCCGGCCCGCGCAGTAGGCCCCGGCCAGCAGAGCCGCGGCCTTTCCTGTGAAGGGAGCCGCCCACGGGAGAGCGGGGAAAGCGTCAGAGGGCGTTTGGTTCCTACGCTTTGAACAATAACAAAGGCTGAAGAAAAATAAAAGCGGCTGTGTGCCAGCCCAGGGTGGAACAGCACTGCGCAAGGCTGCTTCCCCTTCGAAGAACAAAGTGCGTGTGTTGTGGAGCGGCGTTAAAAAAACCCCACCCGAGACTTAAAACTCCAGATGGACGCAAAAAGAGAGACAAACCCCAAAGCAATTACTGTCCCACGTTCAGCTTTTATTAGGTTAAGCGTTCGTAGAGGAACACTGCAAATAAGCGTTCCTGGAAGAAAATACAGAGCAGCGCCTGCTGCCGCTGCAGGCGTGAATACAGTTGCTGTTACGACAACCTTTGGTTTAACAAATTGTGGCCTCCACATGCAAAATTCTGTGGATCTTCCTCATTGCAGGGTTTGCAAATAAAACGTTCTTCATCAGGCGGCAGCAGGACCCACCGGTCCCTCTGAAACAGCATCTGTACTGTGCGCAGGTTGAACTCTGCTAGATCCTTACAGTGATGAATGGGAGCAGAAAGAGCTTGAACTGAGTCTATGGTAAAGTGCCTTGGTTTTTTTGCCGCAGAATTTCAGTCTCAACATGAGCAACGCTTCCATGCAACCTGCAGCCGCTCTCTGTACAGGGGACAAGCCCAAGGCCTGGTTAGCGGCAGCGCGAGTGCCCAGCCTAGGAAAAAGACAATGTGCTGGTGTTACAATGGGACTTGTCCTGTTTTCACGCTGGCATTTAGAGATTACATCATAACTCAGGGAGGGAGGGGAGAATTTCTGGGAAATGCTTTGTTTCCAAGGGGGAATGTTCTCAAACTAGCCTTTTAAAAAAAAAGAGCTAATGTTTACAGGTGCCAGTTTGTTGACAAAGCTGATGATGTTCGGAGCGCTGCTAACAGTGAAAATTCATTGGTATGTGCAATAGATTCAGCAGAGAAAGTAGGTTCACCTGCAAGTAAACGGCATTGCAGTAAGCGTAACAGCAAGCAAAAATCCCCAAAAGCCCGGTTCGGCATGCCTTCCTCACGCTAGTGCTCTTAAGGGAGTTTCTTAGAGCACAAGGTCTCCAAAATTATGGGTAATCCTTACAAACTAAAGCTAACTTATGTCAGAGCAAGGCACAGCCTGGAAGCCTGACCCCTGAAAGTCATCGGGAAAGGAAACACACGTGAAGGGTGGTGTCAGATGGAAAAATAGAATGTTTAAAAAAGCCAGAATGTTTAAAACAGTCCCTTTTATTCAGCAAAAGAAAGCATCGTACCAGAAGACTGAGAGGAAGAAGTTTTCTACTTGAATGACTGTATCAGAACAACTCAAAGCTTGCAGCTATGACAGGAATTTTATGTTGAGGAATATAGATCCTTACCTTCTATGGAGAACAAGAACATTTCTGTTCAGTCGTCTGGTTCAGAGGCGTTTGGTAGCTGTAGTTTTCGTATGTATTATAGTAGCTAAGTGAGAAAGAAGAAGACAGTGAACTGTACTGGTTTGTAGAAGAGCACTCAGGTTGGTTTCCTCTTAGGAAGAGAGTCTTGACATGAACCACCACAATCACACCATCGATGCCAGGTTGCTGTGCCGTGTAGGGTTTGCAAGCCTGAGCTGAAGATGCAGAATTACAAGACCCAGGCACACTCAGGCAAATATTTCAAGTGTATAAAACTCGGGACTTGGCAACAAAGGACATGAGCAGACATCCAGAAGACAGCCTTACCCTTCCTTCTGCTTAGAAATAATTTTCCAGACAACGCCTGCCCCCAGGAGAAGCAGGACCCCCGCAGCCGCGACTCCTGAGGGAGAAGAGCACGTTATCATTCTCACCATACAATTTAAAGCTTATCAGCACAAAAGACATAACGAGGCGCATCTTTAAAGTAAGCAGAGGGAAGCGGTGCCACTGAGGCCGCTGCATAACACGAAAGATCTGGCCACAAAAATTATTCCAAGCTGCTTACCTAGGCCTACTGAACTGGGCTTGCGTGACACTGAAGGGAAGAGGAAAAGAAAATTCAGCAAAGTATCCTAACAAAATGCAGTGTTTCTCAACTGTAGTTAATCACTGTATTGATAAAGCTTTTACTGCTAAGGCCTATAATAAAGGATTTCTTAAAAAACACGCCATTATATACTTTTTTTTTTTTAATACAGAAAGGCATTTGCATGTTTAAAGCGTATTTGCATGTTTGTTTGAGCTTTGCTTCCTTCACATTTCACTCACTTAGTTTGCAGGCCGGTACAGGAGGGTCCCAGCTGAAGTCCTCTTGGCACTGAACCTGACTGATGCCTTCCAACGTGTAACCGTCATCACATTCAAGGGTGATGTTCGTCCCAGAGCGGTAAGTATTCCCTTTTATGGCTTTCTTAACACCTTGAACTTCTGGGAATACACATCTGATCTCTGAAATGAGAAGTAACAAAAAAAGGACATTTAATGAGAAGGAACAAGGAATACAGCTGTGGGTTATTTAAGACATTGTAATTCTTTCTGAATGCAACCAGGAATTAATTCTTATTCCACAGGGTAACTCCTTTCTTTGTGGCTGCAGGAGAGGGTAGGTATCCCACTCCCACACGTGCGTGTTTGTACAGATGAGCTACTCCCCACTGATAGTGCACACGGAAGGCGGCGGGGAGGAGGGGCACCTTGGCAGAAGCCTGCCAGGGAAAGGGATTTTTCTGATACTGGGCTACCAAAACATTTGGAGAAGAAAAGTATAGCAGGGAAGAATTCTGTGGGAGCTTTGGAGGGGACTGCCTGTAACCCACCACTAGCCTGTAGAAGTCCCTTGCCCTTAATGGATGTCACCAGCCATATTATTTATCAGTAGTTAATTTATTAGTCCAGCCATCTAAGCTATTTATACCACTGATTTCAGTGGAGTGAGTGAGTTGCTTCAATTTAAGTGTCTAACACCTTTGACAATCCAAGCCGAGGGTGCTGGAGGAGAAGGTTCTCAGTGGAGACCAAAGGGGTAACATCAATGTGTAACTTTTAACCTTTGTTTCAGGTCAGGTTTGTTTTAGATATATATTTATTTTACTTTCACACGTAATCATTACTAAGGACACTTCAAACCCACAAGAATGCGGAATGGCAGGGAGGATTTTTCTGTGAGCCTGCTTCCTTCAGAGAGGTTCTGGCCTGTTTACCATGGGCATTGGTGTGCTATTTTTCTCTCGTTGTTACCCAAGCATGTTTCAACTCATGAGTCACTGAGGTGGGTGCAGCTCCACCAAGGAAGCATCCTGTGTGGGTAATGAGTTTATTCCGGTGAATGTCCAGCTTTCTGTGCAGCAACACCCACACTAGGAATCTTTTGACATTCATGAAATTGCGTTTATTCAAGTTCGCCCGATGACTGACATTCACACTGAGCTATGCAGAAGGGCCAAGTCACAGATACAGAAGCATTTTCCAAGAAGGGAATAGTCAGACTTTATGTGTAATCTATAGGCCATCCAGCAGAGACAAATTCTCTGATAGAATCATTTCCTTTGCTTCCTGTTAGTGATAACTGGGGAGTGAGAAACACAAGAACGGAAGGAAAGGGAAGGGAAAAATTTTCTACTCAGCTACTAAAAGTAGAAAGCTTTTGAGGGAGTAAAGTTGGTGCAGAACTCATTCATCGCAATGAAAGCAGAGATGGAAAACAGGCAAGAATTAAAATTACTTTCCGGAATTGCCTCTATTGTACTCATGTCCTTCTGGCTACCAGCATGAGGTTCCCATCCTGTTTCTTTATAACCTTATCTTACTCTTCCCAGGGATAACGAAGTGTAGATTAAATTAATAATTAACAGATTAGCCCTGCCTGGCTATGATATGAAAGTCGTTCCCAAGCAAAATAAAGGGATGGAATTCAGTGGTGGCTGCAGAAGATTTTACCGCTTAGATTTTGGCCTGTGTATCTCTATCAAGATGTAATTTTTTCCCCAAAGTAAAACACATATATCATCATGGCTGTGTGTCTCCTCAGCCCAATTCTGGGAGATGCCTGCCACCGTGAATTCCAAACAACATCAGCAAACGAAGCATGAACACACCTTTGCACTGAGGAGGTGGCTGGCTCCAGGTTCCTGACGCTGTGCAGTTGATGAAAGCATTGCCCACGAGTGAATAACCAGGATTACAGCTGTAGGATACAGATGCTCCATAGGAAAAAGCGTTAGAGATGTTGCCTTTGAGCTTCCCGTTGGTGATGTTTGGGGGGTGGGGACACTTCACAACTGGAAAGTCAGAGAGGGACAAATGACAGTGTTGACATGAGGATCCTAGTGGACTGCCAGAGAGTAGCTAAGGCACTGTACCTTTGCAGCCTTGGTTGTTCCCTTTTAATTGCTTCACCTAGGCTAAATAACTGATTTTGTCACCCTGAAACTCCATCAGGCTCTGGAAATGGGTATAAACTTGATCTTGTTCTTACCACTCATTCTGTAGTAGAGGACTCAGTCCTTCTACAAACCTTCCCCTAAGGCAAGTCATGTTAAATGTCCTTTCTTCTTAGCCCTCTGCAACAAAAACACACCTTTACAGACTGGAGAAGGATGGCTCCAGGCTCCAGACTCTGTGCAATAAATGGATGCTGTCCCAAGGAGAGAGAAACCGGGCTCACATATGTATCTTACATATGTTCCAGGAGTGAAAAATGCTTTTGCCGGGCTACTGAGAGACCCATGGACGATACCTGCAGGCTTGGAACAGTGCAGCTCTAAAAAGGGAGAAGTGCACATCAAAACAGAGCTCATACAGGCAAGAGGGGAAACTTTTGAGCACCAGTGGACGGCCATGTGCTCACTCCCACAGCACTGAATCCAAGGCAGAGAGCCAGCCCTGCCCAACCTTCTGCTCTCACTTCACCCCAAATCATCTATAAGGCACGTGGCATCACACACATTTCTTCTTACACAAAGCAGCATCATCTTCCCTGGTATATCAGATAAAAAGCGTGATTAGTTCATATGTATAATGGGAATTCCACACTTGTAAGACCATCTTCTTCTAACATCCATACATGTGTCTTACTGCTGGCAAAGCTGGCCTAAGCTCGTGTTTAAGGCATTTATGCTGAGAAAGGGAGGCACCAGGTACTGCAGCAATAAGGGGGGGAAAAATTGGGATAAATGGATTTTCAGATCTAAACGCTAGACTCTGGGTTCACTCTGGATTCCTCTCACCTCCTAAACATGTTGCAAGCGATAAGGCCAGGAAGGAGAGACATCTAAGGCCAGGAAGGAGAGCCATCTAAGGCCAGGTAACGCATGCTTTCCTCTTTCACAGGCAGGGAGTGGAGGATCCCATGTGCCCCCAAGCTGGCACGGGGACTTGTGGAGCTCTTTTGGGCCATGAGCACTGTTGCGTTCAATCGTAATCGTGTCTTCAGGCCTACAGAGAGAGATCCCTCCCCTCTGATTGCTTTTCCATTCTCAAGTCCTGGGCTCACAGCCAACTGTGAACAGCAAGGGTATAAAGAACCCTTTAGACTGTGAAACTTGTGTGGGATAGAGACCACAGAGACCTCGGTCTTGGCCACAGAGACCTCTGTCTTTCTTTAGTGGTGGAGTTCATTGAAGCAACAGCTCATTTCATCAAGTCCTTAGGCAAATATCACTACATGTTTAACGCATTTAGAGAGTTGAGAAGATGCAGTGGAAAGAACACAAACAGACCTTTGCACTGAGGAAGGGGATGGCTCCAGACTCCGTGCGTTGTACAACGAACAGACTCATTCCCGATGAGGGAGAAGCCCTGTTTGCAGCGGTAGTGCACAAGTGCTCCTACGTCAAAAGTGTCTGAGAAATGACTGCTGTGTTCCCCATTAGCAATGCTTGGTGGGCGTAGACACTTCACTGCTGAAAGAGGAGAGGAGGAAGGTGGCATTAAATTGTAAAAAAAGTGATAACGAGAGTAAGAGAGTGCAGTTAACCTTCGCTGCAAAAAAGCAGGGCAGGTTGGGAGGAGGAGTTAGCGTTCAGTAAATCTTGCCTCTTCTTATAATAGACCTACCTGGCTTCGTTGTGGTCTCAGGACGACGATAGTGTTCTGCCATTCCATCTAGATGCAGCATTAGGAGTTTAAGATACACATTTGGTTGAGCAAATACAACGCACACATTTACCTTCATTTTCTATCATCCTGCCTTTGTATTTCTAGCAAAAATTTTACTCTTCTCTGCTAGTCAGGGTCCTGCCATGAAGCTACCATATTTTCCACTTTCAGGTAATGAAGAGAACACAGATTATGGATTACAACAAGTGGGGTGAGAAAAGTGCAGATCATGCTTATACTTACAGCATTACCCAAAACCTGGCTTATCTCCTGTGTGAGAAGAGAGGCATAAATAAAAGGAACAATTTCTGGTTTCTCCTTGAAATAGTTGGAGCAAACAGGAAAAATAAAGCCAACTTTGGCTTCAGAGAGTGGGCAGGAGCGGTCGGGGAGGCATCTGCAATGCTAACAAGTCCAAGTGCTGACACTTACCCTGCTCGCAGACTGGTAGGGGTGGGTCCCACGTGTTATCAGCTTGGCACTGGGCTGTGTGATGGCCTCGCAAGGAGAAACCTTTATAGCACTTAAAGCTAACAGTATCTTTGTATGTGTAATGATATTTAAGGACAGATACTGTCCCGTTCTGGATCTGTGGGACTGGACATACCACTTCTGAAAGAGAAATTCATTGTTTCAAAGAGGGAGCCATATGTATGCTATAATTAATGCATATACAAAGTCCATCCTTAACGTGACACCGCTCAGGAGTTCACAGGTTGTACTTGGAGACTCACAGAAGAGAAATTTCAAGAATTGAGGGCTTTTTAGTTCCTTTAGGTACCCCAGCTTTACCCATTGTATATCTAAACAGTCTTGTGCCTATAAGCAGAATAATGCAAAGACGTTCTAATAAGCATTAAATAGCATAGAAATCCATAAGCGCTGGTGGTCATTCTCATGACTGCTCTACTCTACCAAGCTCACGCCTTCCAAAGCAATTCCATCTGAAGGAAAAACTAATTGCAGTGATCAACCCCTGCAAAACAGCCTTGTGGTTTGGATAACGGTACAGTATTTGGAAGATCCCAGTTTAATTTTACTCAATGTTCCACTCTTCTGCTGCAGGACACATTTCTTCCTTAATTTATTTTTTATGTTTGTGAAACAAAAGGGACAAATCCCTGCAGGCATCTCCCAACTCTTCATTCTACATAACTCTGAAAGATCAGAAGCTAGTGTCTGGAAGATTTTTAGAAGAAACCTAACAAGCAAACAAAACAAAACAATCCCAGAGGAATATTATGCTTAAAAAGTCTTATTCCTTATGGGTCTATTTATTTTAAGGAAATGCCACTTTTTAATTTTAAGGACTTAATTTGGCAATTCTGCGCCAGACCTAGTGGTGACCTACTTACTCTGACAAATGGGAAGAGCACCACTCCATGCGACATCTGGTCCAGAAATCTCACATCGCCTATGAGACTGCCCAACCAGTTGGTACCTGGAGTTAGAGAGAAAGAAATCTCCATTGATTCCAAGTCATTCAGCGTGGATTTTGCACTCCCCCTCTGATGCTACCCCCAGAGGTTTCCTTCTGCAGCCTCCCGATTCTGGCCGGTCACCGAGGTGTTTCTGTTGGTTTGACACATGGGAGTGAAGGACACCAAGTTCCTTCTTCCTAGATCCAAGAGGAACAGCAATGATCCCAAATTACTCTGGGTTAGACTGGTCAGGTGCTAAATCAGGACTCAGACCCAAGTGATTTCCAAACCGCTGGAGCCTCCTTGCAGCCCGTGCTTGTTTGCACTCTCAGCTCCTGCTGGGTGGCCATCTGAGAAGGCAGACTGGAACCGAAGATTGCAAAGTAATCTATTGGGCACAGGCAGGGAAAAATGAGAGAGACTTCTCCCTTTCCTGAGCAGGCAACTATGGCATAGCTGGCACCAAAATACAAACTCCGGCTTGCTGTGGGAGGACGGCCTGAGCAGAGGAGTGGGCTCTGAGCCTTTACTGTAGGTTGCCCAACACCGAGCTCAGAAATGGAGTCAGCAAAGGCAGCGTGGGACTCACCCTTCTTCACACGTGTGGCTCACGACGGACTTGAAAAGGAGATTTGTCAGAACAACAACTCTGCCGTTCTTTGGCGTTTCTGGGTATTTACATTGCTTCCCTGGGAAAGAACAAGGCTGAGTTTTAACTCCTCTCGTGCAGTTTTGTAATGCACTATGAGAAGGTATCTTAAGGATCTGTCCACATTCAGATACCACTAAAGACGTGATTTTTAAAAGGCCAATAGCTGCCCAAACTATGTGACTAGTGAAGCCATGTATGAATCGTTCTTTAAAGAATTGCTTTAAGAAACCCATGAGTGTAGCTTAGACCATTTTCAACAACCAACACCAAACGGATTGAGCTATTCACTTTCACAAAACGCTAGCGCTTCAGACCACGTGTGGTTTTGGAGGCATGTCAGAGTTGAGGGTACTCCAGGGTGTCTCATGTATCCCGGCTGGCAGCTGTATTGCACCGTGTCCCCAACAGGAAACTCCATCACATTTCTGTATTCCTCGGTTAGCTCAGCAAAAGTGAAGTTTGGAGGTGCTCCACAGCCACCTGTCAGGAACGGAACCACAGGGGACAACACGGGTATCAGCTGCACAAAGTTGTTTCAAAAGGTATACTGAGTATGCGTAGATAAAAGTTTACAAGCAAAGGGTAAACACAAGGGAAGGAGTGAAGAATTCAACATTTTGGGAAGAGTGAGGGAAAGGATGAGTCCTCCAGGCTTTTAAGGGCAGAAATTCCCAGGCTGTCCATAACTCCAGCCATTGTCTTGGAACCAGTGTGTACCTGCACACTGAGGAGGAGGGAGGCTCCAGTTTCCTGAGTCGGTGCAGTAAATCGATGCCTCTCCCAGGAGGCGGTAGCCAGGGTCGCAGCTATAATTTACGACCATGCCGGTAGTGAAAACATCCAAGTCCTGGCTGTTGTGGTTTCCTTTCTCAATATCTGGAGGCGAGGGGCACTGCACCTCTAAACAGAGAGGACAGAACAAAATGAAAAAAAGGGTCTGGATAGGGTGACAGGCAGGAAGGATGCACGCACGTCCCTGCCTGCCCTGCCTGCCCTGCCTGCCCGCAGCCCCGCTGGCAGGGATGGAGCCCGCGCCTCCCTCCGGCACCGGCATTCTCGGCTCACCTTCACAGCGGGGGTAAGGGATGCTCCAGGTCCCGTTGACCGTACAGTACAGCGTTGTTTTTCCCACGAGAGCGTAGCTGGGGTCACAGCTATAATTCACGGACTTGCCAGGGCTGAAGCCTGTCGCATCCCTGCCATCGTGCTGGCCGTGCTCAATCGCCGGCGGGGTGGGACAGAGCCGCCCTGCAGGGAAGGAAACCTTTGCTGAGAACAGGATGGGGGCTGTGAGGTTTCCGTTTTGCTTTTCCTCTTAGCCCCAGAGAACAGAGTCCCTCTAAGTCCGAGCATGCGGAATATTCACTTTCCTGCCCTCCTTTCCTCCCCTAACCCCTCTGGCTCACCGGCCTATCCCCAAATGAAAAAGGCAGGGGAACGCACCTTCGCAGCGCGGGGCAGGGAGGCTCCAAGCTCCAGACGAAGTGCAATTAAGCTGTGCCTCTCCCACAAGGACGTAGCCAGGGTCGCAGGCGTAGCTCACGGACGCGCCGCTGGGGAAAACGGCCGTGGCTGGGCCGCTGTGCTTTCCGTTGGCAATGGCTGGGGGGCGAGAGCACTGCGACGCTGGGGGAAGAGGGCAAAGCCACATTCAGTTCAGCAGCGAGGAGGAGGGGGGCGA